GTTATATGTGCAACTAATTCATATTATGCATACAATGTACAACTCACATATAATATCTCTAATTTGTCTTTACTCACCAATAGAAGAATCCATTAATACAACGAATTCTTTAAGTCCAACAAGCGCCTCCTCGGCGCTGTCGATGTCACAGATAAACTTCAGGACTTGCAGGTGCTGGTTGGTGTTGCTGTTGTTGCTGTGAATGTGGTTGCTGATTTTGAGTTTGATGTTGTTGTTGCTGCGTCATTTGTTGTTGATGATGATTATGATTGTGATTATGATTATGATGGTGACTCTGTCGCGTTCTCAACATATCGTATCTTTGCTTGTAAAGGTCACGTTCCTGTTGAATCCGCGTCAACTCAATCTTCGTACGTTGAAGTTCATTTTGCAAGTTCCGATTGGTGCTCTCGAGATCTTGTCGTTGCTGTAGTCGTTTGCTGCGACAGTTCTGAGCATAACCGCGATTCTTTAGTGTTCGCCGTTTTTGCTTCAATCGCACAACCTTTACACACAATCCAGATTTATATAATTAAACAAATATAATTAAACCTATGTACTTTTATATTTTTAGCATTCTTAAAACAAGGATGAATTATATATTACAAATACAAATTTCTTTAAGCAATGTGAACAAATTTGTTTTTTTTTTGCATCGATAGATTTATTTCATTAATTTGTTCAATAATACAATTATAAAAGTAAAATAATTGAAAAATAAATATTTTACAACATATTTAATATTTCATGTTTCAAAAATATCAGACTAAGCTATAAAGAATAAATTCAAAACTAATAATTATTAAACATAATCTTATATAAATAATAAATATATAATAATAAATAAATATATATATATATATATATATTAAACTTAGAAAATTAAATACTTTTTTAGTATAAAACCATTTTTAGTATAAAAACTTCATAATTTACTTTGTCGTATAAAAAATGAAATCATACATTGATTTTAAAATTTATTTTTACAATTTTTATAGATAAAAAGTTATCAATGTTATATCAATTTCGATTCCTGATTTGAGATTTTAAATATTATCTTTTTTTTCTGCAGAAACAGAAAACAAAAGATTTTAACTCACCTGTTCCCGTGGACAACCATGAAGACGTTTATTGAGTTCGCGTACAGAAAGCGACATCAACAGTTCATCGTCCATGAGTTCCTCCTGAGGATTCGTACCATTACAATTAGAGTATAGACCGTTGCTCGAACGATGGGCTGGCGTGGGTCCACCAGCGCTGCAAGAACTCACGGAACAGACACTTAATGGTCTGCCCGGTTGTATTGATAAGCCTTGCATACTATCCTCCATTCCCTGCATTACACCCCCGCCTGCGGGAAGCATTCCTCCTCCTGCATTCGGACCACTATAATATTCTAGATGATTTGACATTGCCAAATATCCACCTATAACAATAAGATAACAGAAAATTTTAATTTACTAAAAAAAAAAAAAATGAAAGATGATAAAATATAAGTGAAGAAAAGAGAAAATAATAAAGAAATAATAAGTTAACATAACATTTTTATTCATTTTTAGTAATAATTAACATGTACAATTGAACAATTAGTCTCTATTTTCAATTTTTAGCAATTATTAATTATTTTTTCTTTACTAGATATGTAATATTGCATATTTGATATTAACATGTAGTTAACTATAAAAAGCAAATTCAAATATAATAAATTAATATATGTATATATATATATGTATATATATATATATATATATATATATATATTATACATTATACTGCCGTAGCTAAGAGGTTAATGGACCATATATTTAAATGCGCCTAATGTCTAATTGTTTTTTGTCTGTAATTGCCAATAGTTGATTGTTTCTACTTGGATACGTTGCATGTCATCGCAATTTTCCATAATGACAATTATTCTCAACAATGAGATTGAAAGGAATATAATGACGTGATAATTGTCTGCGGAATTAATGGGAGAAAATACATGTACCGCGGTGCAGATTTATGGAGAGATTTTCCAGATGTGCATGATATCCTACGAGGTGCTAAATTTTCGTGCTCATTTAAATAAATCTTATTGTCCACAAATAAATTTTTTAAGTATCTTCTTTTCAGTATAGGCATATCACATTCTATGTATGTATGTATGTATGTATGTATATTTCGTTGAGAAATACGTACATTAGACATACATTATATATATAAAATCACACGAAGAAAAATTAGAATTGTCACAACAGAATAATAATGTTATTTTTATCTGTCTACATACAAGAAAGTTATCGGAATCATGATATTTTGCAAGTGACTTATATAGTAACCCCAATCATAGTGAGGGTAGCTACAATGATGTAGCGTAATGATTATTTTTAATTACAATTATATGTGAAGATTCTTTTTAGTAGTAAAATTGTCTATTCTACAGGTACAATAGAACAGTGCTGTATCCTGCGAATATATTTTATAGATCCCTCAATCACTATTTCTGCAGATCACATTAGAAACAGAGCAATAATTTTTTCGATTTAAGGTAACTACATATGAAAGTATTTTAATCAAATGTTAATTATTGTAAGAAGTACGGTTGTGAGAATCATATAAATAAATATATCTTATAACAGCTGTATTCAATGTGTATTCGATACAACTTGAATCCATTTCTACATTTCTTTTTCAATCATGAGAGAATGCTCACTCTAAACTTTTAGCAGTGAAATTTCACTCCAAGCCTTAGTGACAATTGAGCGTCACAGCAGTGAATTTTATTACAAGGTGGAAGTGAAACATTCACTCAATAATTGTAGTGAATTTGTCACTGGAATGAATTGAAAAATTTACTCCAAAAAGGAATGAATATACATTATTTTATGATCTTCTTCATTTGTCACACAATACACATAGGCCAGTATTTATAGTCAAATGTTATATTTAAGACTGTCTTAGATATTGTCTTAAAAGGTTATCAACCAATCATGGAGCCGTATTAGCATCTTGAGACATTACTTAAAACGGTCTTAAAATAAGACTCGATTATGTATACCTGTCACACTCTATAATTTCACATACTATCGTTTATTTGCAGATTATACATTTCAATATTTGTAATTTATGGAAATTCTCATCTTTCTTGAATTAAATAAATAACGCTTACCTGTAGCAAAATATTTGAATTCATTGTACATAATCAATATCACAAAGCAAACATATTATACCACAATATGATAATATCAACAAATATGTAATATCGTCTTCGTCTTACATCCTTCTCAAAATGCGTCGTTGATAACATCAAGCTAAAGCACTCAGCTAGCAATTAAAAATGTACTTTATTTCTTAAACGATTTAAGAATTCACTCCATTGAAGTGACATTCAATGCATTTTGCATTGAATTGTCAATCGATGCTTTGATCAATCATTTCGGTTGATCGAGTATTCAATTATTACATAAGAGTAGACCGATTAACTGCAAAGGAGTGAAAATTGTGAAAATTGTGAAAATCACTCTTAAAACAGTGTTACTCATTCATTGTTGTCAAGGGTGAAATTTTGAATGCTAAAAGTTTAGAGTGTGTTGTTGTAACAATCATTGCAATTTTTTTTTCGTATAAGAATATATCTTAATATTTTAGATCGTATCTCTTTTTTGACTGCTAAAATAAATAAAATATCTCTGAAATTTTATTCACTCACTTAACTTGAAATATATTTTAAGTCTTATATTTTCGTACAAGTAAACTTTTTGTCTTTCTTCGAAAATGAATCAAGAATTATAATACTCACCGGTATGCCTCGTTGGTCGCGACAGATGTTGCAATTCCTGAAAATGATGATGCGCCGACGTGGCTGACCAAGGTTCATGATGAGGTTCCGGAGTTTGCTCTTGAGGACAGTGAGGCCTTAGATCCAATGGTTCTTGTCTCAATGACTGTGTTAGCCAACCCATACCACCCGTACTGACCTGCATTTCTTCTTGTACTAACGTCGGTTGCTGCAACTGCAACAATATACTACCGCGATCGCGAAGGTCACGCACATCGCGAGAATCTCGATCGCCGCGGTGCAGTTGCAATGGCGGTGGCGACGCCGAAACAGGCGGCGTATCCGGCGGCGTACCCGGATGGGATAAAGTGGTAAGATGCGCTGCAGCGCTAGGCGGTGCTTTTACTAGGACACCGTGCTGCACCTGAATATGGGGTTGACCATATAATGGATGTGGTTGCTCTAACTCGTGCGCGGGCGGTGTTAATGGTGCCAAGGCTAAACCCTGTGATTGCACTTGTCCCGAAAGCTGCACCACGCTACTGTTCACCATCACTGTCGGTGAGCCCATTCGTATCTACGAATACAATAATTTTCACTGATTTCACTGATTTCAACTGTCAGCCCATGACTGACAATATTATAATTGTACAATTGTATAATTGTAATATTTAAATTGTACAAGAAATTCAAATTTTCATATTTATATTTATTAATATCATTAAAAAGGATTTATTTATTTTTTTGTTAATAATATTGATTTAAAATTGACTATTAATTTAAAGTTATTATAAAAAAGAAAAGTTCAAATTAGCTTGATATTTTTTAAGACGATATTTCCCAAAATACAACTTTCGATCCACCTTCGTAGCGAATACCTACTGTCTTTCTTTATCTTTTGAGTGACGGGACATGATTAACGGGCCGACACACGATTAATTTTAAGATACGCGGTGCTCTGCCTCAGAAGCGGCATCTCATCTCAAGCGCAAGGTAGCGCCAAAAACAAATTTTTAATGACAGTTTTAACACTAAATCCAAAAACATAAATGCTATTTTGCCGTCAGCCGTCAGTTTGACGAGCTTCGAGCGCTTAATTCTTTCTCAATTCATGTATGCTTCATCCTCTCTATTCGACTCTTGAGTGAAAGTCACACATTTCGGCAACCACTTCTTTATAATATACAGAGTGTTCCGCGAGATTTCTGCCATCACTCGTAAAAAAATAGATGGGACCGGGATGAACATAAAAGTCCATTTTGTGATATTCGCGATAATAATCGAGATATTGATTATTAAAAATTACCGTAGTAAAAATTACCCGGCCCACCGGCAAAGCAAGCGCACGGTAAGATACTCCCGCTCGGCGATCATTGTTGATAGGCGCGTGAGGAATTGTTTACTTTAAGCGGCTCGTGCGTAGCTATTGCCGTTTGTGATTTTTAATAATTAATACATATCTCGATTATTATTGCGAATATCACAAAATGATATGGGACTTTTATGTTCATCTCGGTCCCATTTTTTACGTGTGGTAGCAGAAGTCTCGCGGAACACCCTGTATATTACATATAGGATTTTCATGTGCAATATATTTCGAGAATAGGGCCCTAGGATTTTATTGTGTTTTTGGTACGACGCTTTTGAAATGAAACGTCATGCAATTTGTTTACGCGCGTTCAGCGATGCGTTATTAAGAGACAAGTGATGAAATAGAACAGTGAGCTTTTATTAAATTAAATAAATGTTAAATAAATGTTAAACAAATTTTAATAATTTTTAATAACCTTGTCATTTATTTTCTTATAATTTATCATATATAGTTTTTAAATGTATTATCTGTTAAATTATCTCTTTGCAAGTTATATTTAAAATTTGCGTCTACAAATTTTTAAATGGTAGTGTTTTAATTTTTAAAGTATATTCACGTGTGTACAGTAATAAGTCATATGTTATAATACAATAACAATGTGTATATGTGCCTGGATCTTAATAAGATCCAGGCGTACCAAGTTCTTGTGCAATTGATCTGAAAATTCCTTTATTCAATTTAAAATTTGTGATAGACTCCATAGTAATAGTGCTATTGTATGACATATAAGATGTCTCATAATTTGTGGATTATTTTATAGGAAAGTTGAATGATCGTATATCCACGCGATAGAATGGATAATGCAAAGGCGCGATGAGAAGGGACAATTCAGTTGGTCAACTTTGCATATATGCGATTGCTAAGAGTGCGGCAAGATTCGAAGGTCTGCTCTACAAATAATGGTACATTCGTTTTTTATATTTCACAACTCAAAACATGCTATACTTTAAAACTTGTTATATTTTTGGCAATAGAATTCGAATAATACTAAATTTTGCGCGGAAGCATAATTATTTGCTGATCTTTGTTATAATAATTAGTTACTTATTATAAAAATCGTAAAATGATACGAGATTTTTTTATTTAATCTAATCAGCTGTACTTGTTCACGAAAAATAAGTAGATTTTACTAACAATTGTAAATTAGCGCCAATCTTTTATATCTTATAAAAATAACATACAAAACAACCACAAAAAATCTTACTTTGTATTTTATTTATTTAAAAAATCTTCCTCTGTACAACGTGAACATATTTAGTGTCCTTTTCCACTTTTCATTAAAATAAAGAATTTATATATAAATATAATTTTTTTTAATACAATTGATTAACATTTTTATATTAATATGGTTAAGACTAATATGGAAAGAATACATTGTTAAAATAAAAAATCATTTTCATAATAATCCAGACATAATTAATAAACATAATTAATAGAACAAGAATTACATGACAAATTTGTAAAAAGGATAAATTATTTCTTTAGAAGCAGCGCAATAACTTTATACAGAATTCATTAATAAATTAGATAATTTTTTTTTTAAATTAGCAAGACTTTTGACAAAAATATCGTACTAATAATTTAATACTAAGATATCTTATTTTTAATACTAATATACCTTATTTATCTCAATTTTAGAAAAATCAAATTTTAAAAAGTATTTTGGACCACATAATATTATACAATTTCTCTTTTATAACTTTTCTCTTTTATAAAAAAACGTGTACAACCTATCAATATTAATATTTACTTTTCTAAAAGTATTTGTTAAAGTTCTATTAAAATGAATGCGCTACAAACACTGTCTTAAAAAAAAAATATTATATTCTTATAAATAAAAGAATCATTCTTAATTTTTTGAAAAAAATAATGAGGATTATTTCTTAAAATTTATTTGGATTTTGTATTACAACATTTCTGTTCATAGAATATGGAAGTAAAAATTAAAAATTTTTATCTTTAAAAAATGGTTTTATCAAAATACCTGAATATATTTCAATAGATATAGATCTAATAATAATTTAATTAATCTATCAAAATAATTATAGACATAAGCATTATAATAATATTGCAAAAATTTGAACATATTCTAACAAATTTGAACATTCTAGATAATTATTTAGTTGGCACAACAAAATTATTTTCAGATCTGCATTTCAGAGCTTCATTTATTTTCTCGGTTCGTGTACGTGTATGTAGCTTTGTATACGTTATGGGCTTTTTGCTAATGTTTTATGCTACTTCCTCATTCTCTACGTGAATTTAGTGTTTGCATATAATTTTATCTCTAATATTTTTATATTCAAAATAATTCATAATTAGTAGGAGAAATCATATTATATAAAAAATTATATAATTCTATTTTAAAAATAGAGCGATGACCTTAATGTAATTTTCAAATGACTACCCAATGTTAAACCAATAGCACTATTATATGTCTTTTCTATAACTTCTACAACTTCAATTCAAGGCATTTTTTGTTCAAATTTAGAAAATATACAATCTGTTTCTATTAAAATGTGACACCTTATATAAATATATAAAATGTATAATAATCATTGATAAGTTTAACCATTAATTTTTTGTTAATTATTGCGAAAATTGCAAAATGCAGAAATTTTACTCAGTTTAGACCGCTCTACCTACTAACATAAACGCTGTGTCAATGATTTACACGTCCAATATAAAGATACAACATGCTTACCTATTATTTTGTTAAAACAAAAGAATTTCATTTATTTATCCTTTTTTGCATGGAAAGAATACTTTTGCTGGCAAATCTAAAAATTTGACCAGATACGGATCTGAAAATAATTTTGTTCACCCATCAAAATTATTTTGTAGAACACTTAACTGTAATGATAATACTACAAAAATGTTTGATCTTCTAACAATCAATTTGAACATCGTATATAATAATTTTGAAGGCCCAACAAAATCATTTTCAGATCTGTATCTAGCCAAATTTTTAGATTTGCCAGCAGAAGTGTTCTTTCCGTGTATATTTTAATTTAACTATGTTTTAATACATTATTTAACACAACTTTATTTAATAACTTTATATCTCTTTTAGCGGTATATTATTATCACATTGCTGCCTTAGATCCCTTTTGAAAAAATTTTAAGAACCGACCTACCATGTCACTCGGTTATGCAACCGACATGAACAACATATTTAATTCTTATTAATTAACTGACGGCCCTCAGAATTCAAGGAAGTATTCTGAAGAAATTAAGCTGAAACTTTTTTTTAAGCTGAAGAAATTAGGCTCGAAATTAAGCTAAAACTTTTGGTGAATTATATTTATATTAATAGATTTTTGAAATCATAATTAGCGCACTCTGTATCACGCAAATTCTCATTAATCGTATCTATCTGTGTTAATCGAATTTAATTATTTATTGCAAGAATCGTTTTATTAATTATTAAATATTTCTTTTAAAACTGAATGCACTTTTATTGTGCATTTCCAGAATATCCTTACGCTTTACCTCTCGTTTGACATCAGCAGGATCCAAATGATCAAGAACAAACTCCTGCACATACTCTCTTGCCAGGTGATCCTCGGCTTCCATCTTAACCTCGTCGACCTCTACCTCCACCTCCTCTATCGTATCAGTCGCGGTCGCATACGTGAGCGTCTCTCGTCCGTCGCCGCCACCGTTGTCGTTGCCACCGCCAATTCTACCGCCACCTCCACCTCCACCTTCGCCTCCGCCACCACCCGAGCAATTCGTCACTGTCCCTTGTTGCGTTGTAATTATCTTTTTGATCAACACTTTGCTGATTTCTATTTAAATATCTTGAGAGAAAAATTAAACGGTATAAAATTAAACGGAATGAAAATCTGTTTCTCCGCGTAAATAATAAAATCAAGAAATCATCATTTCAATAAAAATTCTTCTGAAATTCACGATAAACCGCGACAATTAAAAAATAGGTTGTTAAAACTGATTATCAAACAAATTTGCTGGAAGCAACGTGTTCTGATTTATCGTCAAGGCATTTAATCTCGTAATTCTGTTTTTAGTTTATCTGCCATTAATTTTGTTGATCGTGCTTCCAGTTTATCATGATTATAATATTTTCTTTATTTTTCATTTTCCTTACGATTTTAATATCGCATTTCTGTCATGAAGAAAATATTTCACGTATAATATTTATTAGAGAAGTACGTGTATTTAACTGCACATGTTTCAATAATAAATAAAGACAACTTTGTTTCTTCAGAGGAATACAATTGTTAACGAAAAATTAATCACTGGCGTAAACGCCACGATGAAAAGAAAAAAAAGAAAAAAAACAGTTAAAATAGATTAAGTACAAAATGACATTCGGGATAAAGTCTTCCGCGTGCAACACACCAAATTAATTAAAGGACACCCAAGATGAGAGAATCTAAATAAGGGAAGTACCATTCGATTCCGCTCCGTAAGAATATATCCTTTTTACAATCACTACGAAACACCGCGCATAAATCTTCAGCAACGTTCTCGCAGGAATTTCGAACACCAGTTTGATATGTCACACTGACACTTAAACACTTTTCCCGCCAAAAAACGTTTAAAAATTTTGGCGTTATCTTTTCATCACAGTTCTGCTTGCGGCTACCACGAAATCAGCTAATTCATGTTTATTTCTTTTCTTTCTCACTACTCAATAGCGACAGAGATCTCTTTTAATCGATGAAACATATCGTATTGCAAATGAAGCGTCTTCGACTCCACCCTCGGTAATCGATTCGCAGATCGATCGACGCCCTGCCCCTGTCGCGATCACGCATGCATTATATACCACAACACTATTTTTTGGAGCTTTACACTCGTCAAACAACATGAACGAAAACGCAATCGGCGGATGAAACGAGAAAGAAAGGAGGAGGAGGAAACAGGAAGAACACGCTTAAATACAAGAAGGAAAAAAGATCGCGTAGAGACAGCAGTAGATACGCCGTCTGAGTGGTGACTGGTCGGCTGTGTGCCGAGAATAAGCGCGGATAATGCTCTCACGCGCAGGGCAATCACGACATGCACGGAAGGCGTGGCCGTTTGCTATTCGGTACTCTAACGCGCCCCGTGATTGGCGCGTCTTGGATCGCGTCGCCATTTGCACACTCCTCCCATACGCCCCACCGAATCGACGTAAATCTCCCCTTCATCGCCGCGTCACATCGCACGCGCGGATCCGGTCACTCGAGAAGTATCCCATTAATTTCTAAAATAATTATTATATATACGCGCGAGTTCTGCCCTCGCAGAACCTCTCTTTACCCCTCCATCCACCAAGTTCCGCCTCTGATATCATCTGACAAGGTCTTTTTCTCTCCTTCACTATATATGCGCATTGCGGTTTTTCTCCTCTTTTCTTCTGAATTTCAATTTACGGTTGGTACGGATGATTTTTTATCTGGCAACCACGATCTGGATCTAAATGGGATACGATTTTTTCCGCACGAGCCATAACTAGGAACGGGGATGGTTCACGGGTTGTCACGTCTACGTCCACGTCAAAGAACAGGAGAGTGAGAGAAGTGTGAGGGAGATAAAGGAACCGATGTCGAGGTTCGCTGATTATGCCCAGTTAACGAGATATTGCTTTGCGTATTCGAATTTTTATGCATCGAGAAAAGAGCACACTTGGATTTTAGGATTTAAAGCTTGATGATTAAATGTTAGGCAAATTACTTTAAAATTGCAAATAATTTCTAAAATATACTTAACATGATTTTCTTTCTTGTTAATAAATTCGTGTTAATGTTATACATATACGTTTAATGCAATTAAAAATGTTATTGTTTACTTTTGAATTGTGTAATACTCATGTGTATATATCCGCGCTAATATATATTATAATATACATATTTTGTATGTTATATGTAACATTAGTTATATAAAAATGTGTAAAAATCACGAACGTGTATAAAAGTATAAAATGAGGAAAAGAAAACTTGAAGAATTAAAACAGTTTACAGTTGTACGTAGTTCTGTCGTAAATGTTTCAAGAAAGATTACAATTATCAAAGATTAGAAATAACGAACGAGCGAGAGATATATGAGAAATATACGGGAATAACACAGAACTTTATTGCTATATTTATTTTATTTATTTTACTCATGTTGCTATATAATATTAATTTCATTATTCAGAATAATTTAAATTGAATAAAAAAGGCAAAAACAAAGCGATTCAGATATAATTGTATGATTATAATAAGAAACTATTCATATGATTGAAATAATAAAATTATTTTTTATCTTTTCCACATATTTTATTTCTAAGATTAAAATCATTACATAAAGAGAACGATTTCTTTAATAATTTTTATTAGATTCAAAGAAATTTATTATAAGTACTTATTATAGTACTTAATAGATTAAATCAAATTTATTAAATTGTTTGAAAAAAATAACTCTTATTTAATAACTCTTTATTATGTGCTGCAACAATATTAAAGAATCTGTTTCTTTGAAATGATATTTAATCTAACCAAACAAAGTTTGTTATTTAGTTCAAAAATAAATTTTATTTCCTTTAAATGAATAATGTTATAATAAGTGTTATAACAGTGTTAATAATAGTGTTTTTTTTCTATTAAACAACATGGTACATTTCAATGAAACAATAAAACTCTTAATTCAACAAAATGATGTTTAATATAAAATTATGTTGTTAAATTAAATAAATTCAAGTTAAACAAATAGAATTGTTAAATCTAAAGAAATCTTTTTCTCAGTGTATATAATATTCTAATATATACATTTTTTTATCTTTACGTTTTTGTTTTATGATTTAATAAGTGATTATTTTGTATCACTTACAAATACTGTAATTTAGATTTAATGTGAAATGATGTTATTCTTCTATCGATTTAAGTGAAAGTTCAAACTCTATGAAAGAAAAAGACAGAACGGAAGGGAGAGAGGGAGAGTTAGAGATTATGTGAAATGGGTGCAAATCATGGACTCGCATCTAAATAAGTTTCTACCAATCTACTTCTCTACTTAGCAATCCATACTATATTTCTTACCCATTTCTGGGGTACCACGACTCTAAAATGCTTCATGAATATCAAATTTCCTTCTTTCCCCATACACCTTTCTATATCTCGACCGTTTTCCACTTTCAAAGTAACATCGTATGACACAAAATTTACTCAATTTAAAAAGACAAAAATATTCCGCTTACATAGAAATTTGCATTTTTCTTCTAACATTATTTTTCGTTCAAATAAATTAATGTAAAATTTAATGAAAAGAATATGGAAAGAATATTGTGAAAAATATGTATATTTACGTAGAAATCTTCTGAGAATAAAAAGTAGAAATATAAAAAATTCTTTCTAAAAAATTAAGTAAATAATAATAAATAATAAACATAATTTCAATAATTTCTATAATAATAAAATAAAATGCTGGGCGTGTCAAGATGTTTAGAGATACGTTAAGCGGATGTTTCATCATTTATAGACAATTACAATAAGCAACGTTAGACTAACTATTCATCTATTCAAATCTATTCAAATCAACCATCTATTCAAATGATGATGTTTCTTGGTAAGCCAAGAAAAATCATATTTTCTCTCAATTTTGACATTACCTTTAAAATTATAAGATTTAATTTAATTATAAATTATAAAATGTGAGTCCGAAATCTTCTTGTTTCTCTAAAAAATGTTTTTTGTTTATAAAGTTTATAAATTACTAGTAATCTTATTATCTTTTAAGGAAAACTTCAAATTAATGAAGT